TGTGAGCTTTTCTCGAAGTGTTGCCACCGGAAACAATTCTTGGCGGGAAAATTTGAACGTGCGCACGCAATACCATCACGCAAGTAGCCTAACGAACTTGCACGTAATCATACAGGAATTTTTTTATTGAGATTTAAACATTGTCGCCTGAAGATCGCATTGAGCGTGAAACTCAGAGTTGTGACTATATATATTTTAAGTTAAGAAATTAAATTATATATATATATATATATCTGGACTGCTTCTCAGCCTCAAAAATCGTGTTTGCAATATGGTGGAAATGTGAGAGTGATTGCTCATGGAGTCGACCGCTGACCAGTACTCAGAGCTTAAAGATTTTGCTATGCGCCAGCAGTGCTGTTTTACTCTCATATTCTTCAGCCTCAATTTGCCACACTGGCCTTCAGTCAAAAGTATTGTAGCTATTTCAATTTCCTTTCAATTTATTTATTTATTTATTTATTTATTATATAATAGCTTATCCGAACGGTTTACTTATGCGAATACTCGTTTCGCAATGCACATTAGCCAATTAGAAAAGCGAAACAATTTTCTCACATGTGAGGAAAACGTTTCGTCCAATCAAATGATACAACGAAGAGGTATGAGTAAATTCGCTCACGTTTCGAGCGTACGAGTCTATACGCACGTTTCCTCCATGCAATCTTCTGCGCTATACTGTACATGCACTGTGCGAATTAGGTCGATCATTTCAATTATACCGTTACGTACAAATAAAAATAAAATGGATGTAATTTTCATTGAAATGCATAATATATATCAAGTTGAAATACCTGTCAGTTTCTTGCTGGAATTGCGTCACTGCGGCTGTAGTTCTCAATGGATGACTTTCGTTGTTTTGCTTGTTAGGAGAGTTCCCTAATCGTTCGGTTTCAATCTGCAAAAACAAGTATATTTCACAATAATTAAGAATGAATCATATACTGTATATAGAATAAATATGTACTTTAAGTCTTGTTAAATATATTTGGAGTACTAACAGGCCGATGCGTAACATCTACAGATTGATTTCTTTTCATTTGTTTTTCTCTTTCTTTCTTTTCTGTAATTTGCTGTTCTGTAAGTTTAACCAGAAATGAAAATTAGACCCAAGTCCACTCTAAAACACCCTTGGTAAAAATTTCCTGGTTAATCTAAAATTAACACAGTTTCCATGGGGTAATTTAATGTTCCTGGTTAATTTAACCATTGTCCTGGTTAATTTGATCACTATCGTGGTTACCATGCAGGATTGCTATATGGATGAATTAATCAGATTATGTTAGGTGGATTATTAACCAAAAATTCTTGGTTAATAGACCACCTAACATAATCTGGTTAATCCAACCATATAGCCTGGTTAAATTAACCAGGAATCCTGGTTATAAATTAGCCAGGACTATGATCAAATTAACCAGGACTGTGGTTAAATTTTTAACCACGGTGTTTTTAGAGTGTCGGCTATACAGAATTATTTGGCAAACACTGAACGTGTATATAAGTCGTTAAAATCGTCAAATTAATATTGCAAGAGATGATTAGCCAAACGAGATGGTTAATTACCAAACACCTTACCTTACACGCGTAGACGTGTTGGTTCAGTGAATGTTACATGCGTAATTACCTAGTTCTTTGACCCACTGTCTGTGTTTGGCAGCCTTGTCGTCATGAGGGTTATTGGTTACTAATCCTGGTGCCTAGAATACAATAGTATTTTAGGTAAAATATCAAATTCGACCATGGGGACTTTACTAAGTATCATACCGTCTACGCATCTCAAATTCACAAATGAATAAGTATTTTAAGAGAAATTTAAGTCTATAAAAAGTTGACGAAATTATATGCGAATTAATTAAAATCACATGCATATCCAGTTGCCGCCATAGCTGTGATTTCCTTTGTTTATACTGCTTATGAATGATTGAGAGAGAGAGAGAGTAAACCTGTGCATTCAGTATAAGTGAAGAATATAATATACTGCAGGATTCACCCAAAAAAATGGATGCATGCATGCATGCATGCAGAAGATAAGTATTAGCATAGGCAGCCCAAAACTGCGTGTAGAATGCCCCAAATGCTTCCAAATGCCAATTTATATTAAGCTCGCCCCATTCCTCTGTCATTTGTCGCGCGCCGCAAGCACTCGATGATTTCATTGAGTGCTTGCGGCGCACGAAAAATGACAGAGGAATGGGGCGAGCTTAATATAAATTGGCATTTGAAAGCATTTGGCGCATTCTACACGCAGTTTTGGGCTGCCTATGGTATTAGGCTAAGTAATGAAGTGCATGACAAACTTCATTAATTTGTATACATTTTAAGGGTTAGATTACAAATTTCGAGAAAGATATACACACCCCGATTGCAAAGGAACTTCTCATTGCAGCTGGCTTTATAGTTTCTTTCGTGGTAGCAACAGTTTCTTCAGGATTGTTTTCTTTCACAACCGGTGCAAAATTCTCCGGCTCATTGGAAACCTTTTCAGATACCTAGTAATGGAGTATAATACATGCCAGACCTGGAAAAAGTTTTTAATGTTTCTTGGATACTCAAAAGTGCGTATGTTAATGAAAAATTTGACCGTACATTACGCCAAATTTGAACATCGAACAACACTTTACAATCTCAAATAATCAAATAAGAGGTAAGGAAGCTTGATATAACGATTCTCCCATAACGTATGTGTGAAAATGTTGTTAAGGCAAGTGTTCCTGCAGGATCTCGAGATCCCGCTTTTTCCCAGGTCTGAATTATATACGGTACTACTGTATACAGTATATTTAGACAGCATAAATTAAACATCACAATTTCATCTATTAGGCCCGTTTACACTTGCAATTTTTGCTGCGATTTCTAGTGAGATTTTCTTCTTCTGATGTCAACGAGTGAATGAGTAATGAATCATGAATGTTCAGATGAGGCAACATCAGAAAATCACAGCAAAAATTGCAAGTGTAAACAGGCGCCTTTCAAGTTTATTGGATTTCAAAGCAACTCTACTACCTGAAAATTCTCATTAGTATTCATTTCCTTGGTTTTCTCATCTTGTTTTGTGTTCATCTGCGTTAGTTGAGTAATCTTATTACTTGGACCTAAGAAATGATCAATTAAGGGTTGAAGGGTTTTGTAGTTGGAAATTTTGAGTATAAATGTCATACATTTTCATACAGATATTATAAGTAAATGTTATATTATACACAGAAATGCTGATTTGACTGGGGCGGCTATTAGATACGAGGCATTTAATTAGAGAGTTGAGAGAGTAAAGTTTAAACAGCATACAAAACTAAAGTGAGAATCCTTAATAATAAAACATACCTTGTAAGTCAAGTGGTGCGTCATTTTGTATTGCTGGCACATTATCCACATTGTTCTCATTCAAAGTTTCCAGTAATTTTGCCAACTCATTTTTCGTTACAAAAGCGGTAGTTTCATTGACAGGTGTAGAATCACTGTTACCAGATTTTTGCACTGTAGGCTTGGGTTTGTTGTCTGGTAATTTTCCATTAAATTTTGCAGCTACTCTAGAAAGCTTAGCCCCTTTTGCGTAATTTGAACGTTCTTTGTTGTGTTTTAGCTTTAATTGGGTCTCTTGTTGTTTTGCTCTTGGTTTTCTTTTTCCAACTGAATCATTATCTACTGAATCACTTTTAGTTTTCACCTAAAAATAACCATCACAAGCTTTCAAATAACTAAAAAAGCAACTACTAGCTGTTTAGTGAACATCGGCTGAAGTGGAGTATTTTCTCCTCAGGTGTCTTTGCTGAATGATATAGTAGGTGGTCATGCAGGTGGTGTTGATTATTATCGAGGGTGAGAGTTAATACTACAACAGATAAATGAAATAATAATCAATACAGGAATCAAATTTCTTGTATGTAAGGCCTGGACCTGAAATATATATTTGTAATATTTATAATATTTGTAAAAAAAATTGTCAAATATCCCAACTTCATTACAATACAATATTTATTGAACTCTCCCCAAAGAGGCTTTTCAGAGCCAATTACATGACAAAATATATTAAACTATAATATAATATATAATAATTAAAAGTACAGTTTGTACAAGAAACCAGCAGGAATGCTTTCTCAATTTTGTACAAAAGATTAGTATGCCCTATCATAATGAATATGCATCCTCTTGTCTTGCTTTAAATAAAATGAAAATGTCGGTGAAATGTTGTATGAAGATCAATAGCTTATTCAAGTGGCCAACATTACAAAACAGTAGACAGTATCTACCACTTGTCAAATATGACAAGTCAGTTTTTGGCCTGAACAGGATTGGACAGTATCCTGTTAAAATGCATACTATTACATGGTTAATAGAATTAACCATGTACCAGTATGTTATGCAATGTGACACATTTTGTGTTACCATATGGTCATTGATAAAGTTGTGTCTTCATTAATAATGTTCATGGAACAGCAATTTAAACTATTTTCAGCCACAACACTAATAACACTGCAAAGTTCTACCACTGACATTCTTTGTAATATGACATTTAAGTAGTTATATGTATGCTACATACCTTTCCTCTGTCATGCAGCTGACTTCTATATCCTAGAATGGAGATTTTAAATCAAACATTATAGTATTATACTGTAGCATTAATGGTTATAACCAGTGCCAGCTACAGTAGTGCTCAATATTCTCCTAAATTATAACCCATTACAACCAGGTAAACTACTGTACATTATATGAAACTATTAAACACCAATTAAATAGCAATGAACTATAATTAGTATAATTATAATACATGCTACACCTATATTATTGTAGGGTTCAAAATAGCCGCCTGCTTCCGGCGATAGCCGGCAGTTTTAGGACCTTGCAGGCGATTTTTAATTTCAAAGCATAGTGGGGATCGGCGAAAATATTATATTTATTCACCGATGACTCGCTTACAATAACACCATACTGTACTTATACCCAGACAGAACTTGTTAATGTTTATTCCTACATATGTTGTGTTGGTTTACATCACTATTATTTGGCCTATGCCCACTCCAGAACATAACTAAACTTTGCTTGGAAAATAGCCGGCAAAAATTTTCACCTACAAAAAACAGCCAACAAAATTTGACATATTTTCAGAACGTTATTTCGAACCCTGACACACTAATGCGATATAGTTTTAGGGACAGGAAAGTGATGGGAGCCTGGGTGGGGGATTTTCAGCTTGTATTAATTTTGCTGTCTGCTTGCTGTGGAGGAATTTTTTGCATTATTTGAAAACAAGGGTGGGTTGCTACAAAATATTTGTAGTTCGCTATAACTACAGCTACTTCAAAAATATGTAGTCAGCTACAACTAATTTACTGCTACTTTTGAACAAAGGTAGTTTGCTACTGACTACAGCTACTGCTTAAAAAATGTAGCGAACTATTTTGCTATTTCATCTTTTTTAGTTTTACTGTTTTTGGAGCCTATAACAAATCGACTTACGAGTAGCAACAGTAAACACAAAGCAACATGTTTGTAAGCACTGCAGTGTTCAAGAGTGCAAATTGACTATTGAGTATTGACTTTAAGCAAACCGTGTCTCAATATCATGCTATTCTATCAAGGTGCTAACAATTTTAAAAAGTAGCGAATAGCGATTCGCTGTTTGAAAAGTAGTCAACTACTTGGCTATAGGGATGAGCCGATTAATCGGTAAATAATCGGCAAAGCCGATTAATCGGCCGTTTTTTAAATAATCGGTAATCGGCCGATTATTGCCTGATAATCGGCAAACAATCGGCCATAAGACTTTTTCTGCAGCTGCCAATCACATGCCAAAATACTGAATACAAGCGAATAGATTTTCACATTTTGTTGCAAAACCTGTGTCTTTTGTCTCAAGCGAAGTGAAGCTTGGAACATTTCCACTAAAAAAAACGCAGCAGACTAGCTCCGCATAGCTGACAGTGCTTTGTTTTTGCAACATACAGTAATCTGCCAAAACTAAACTTTGACTATTGACATGCCTGACTGAAGCTGTTTTTAATTGTACAAAGTGTGTATTGTAAACAATAAAACCACATTTACAACTTCATTGTTGGTCATCTTGTGATTTTTCGCTTGCTTTTTAAAATAATCGGTGGGTACCGATTAATCGGCCGATTAGTTACAATAATCGGCTTGTAAATAATCGGCCTCAGTAATCGGCAATTTTCCTTATCGGCTCATCCCTACTTGGCTACTTTTAGGCAAAATGTAGTTCGCTATAACTACAGCTACTGTTTTAAAAAAGTAGTCAAAAACTACTGGCTACTTGAAAATTGTAGTTCGCTACAGTAGCGAACTACAACTACTTCGCTACTACCCACCCTTGCTTGAAAAGAATTTTTCTTTGCTTTATTTAATTAATTTTAACCCATTGAGCACCAACATTCTCCTCTTGACGAGTAAAATTGACTAGTGTTAGACAGAGTAAAATATGAAAGTAGGGTGCATTGGGGTGCAATATGCAATTCAATGGGTTAATTCATCTTTGCATGAATATTTTTCTAATTAGTTATGCACTGCAAGAATTTTTTTACCCCACCCCATCACTTTTCTATCACCAAAACTACAAATCCTTCCTCTTGCCTCAAAAATTGTGTCTTGTTTTTGTGTCAAAACATTCAGGAATGGGATTCCAACACATATTACTGCTAAAATGTCGAGCTATTATTAGCTAATGTCAGAACAATTTCCCACAGACCAATCAGATATCAAGTAACCATTTCCAAATTGTTGATTGAGGGGGGGAAGGGGGGATCTCGTCACAAAATCACGAAGATCATTTTTCGATTTCACGAGTCACGAAAAACAAAATTTCATTTTCACGATTTTTAGAAACACAGAAGCGTAACAAAGTCTGAAACCATTTAACACATACTGACTTTAACATTAGAGCCGTTTAAAAGACAATGGAAATCATTGCGAGGCATTACGAGCATTGTACGATGAAAAGGTACGAAGGTATACGATAATGACGTTTACCGATGAAATGAAGAAACCTCAAGAAAGACAACCGCGGGAAGCAAATTTATAAATTTTTCCCCATAATATTACATTTGGGCCGAGTTTTAATTAAACATAAACATTCACAAGTTAGGGTAAAATATTTGTAAATTCAAGACCCTAGCTAGCCTTTTAGCTCTTCACGGCACGCATATTAATCACGATTCACGGAATGGTATTTCTTTAAATCACGAATCACGAATAAAGCTAATCACGAGTCACGAAAATACCCTTGCC